AAGTTTTGATCGCATAGTTGGTGGGCGGCCTCCAGCAAGTGAGGATGGCTTTGAGGGTTGGGGTTTAGGGCTTCGGGGGTTTCAGGTAAAAATTTGTATTCTTACGTGCAGAGGACATGTGCCCAAGTACATCCCAGTAAATGACTATTGTTGTTGTTAGTATTTTCTTTTTACAACTAGAGGGCCCTACATGCGTCACTGCGCGCCCTGCGGTCGTGCAGTAGTGAGCCCTGACCAAACAAGAGCATTGCAGCAAACTCGCAGGGTGTCTCAGTATCTGATTTGGGGGTTTAGGGTTCAGGGCTTGGGGTTTAATATCTTGGTACCCTAAACCCTAAATTTAAATTTAAACCCTAAACCCTAAACCCTAAACCCTTAGCAGCCCCCAGAAGCAGGCCAAGAAGCAGTACATCGAAGCCCTGGGCCCGGATCCGGCAAAGGTCCAGCGGACGTGGAAGTGAGCCTCCCTCCTGCCCCTCCCCCCTCAGAGAACTGAGGGAATGAGGGAACTAAGTATTCCCCATATATATATATATATATACGTATCTATATATATATATATATATATACATATGAGTATACACACACACACACACACACATATATATATATATATATGTATATGTGTGCATGTGTTATCCTTGAATAAGCGATTCTATGCGGTATCTAACTCCCTCATTCCCTCCTAAGGACCAGGGAGAAGCAAAAGCTTAAACAACTCAAAACCCTAAACCCCCAAAACCCTAAACCCTAAACCCTAAACCCCAAAAACCTTAAACAACCTAAACCCCAAATCCTTAAACCCTAAACCCTACTCTTTGCAAACCCAAAGCCCGAACCTTAAACCCCACACCTGCATGAACAACATGCGGTGGTTTCACCATGCTAATGCCATGCCAATGCGGAAAAAAGCACCGGTGCCAAACGTAGAGTTTGGATGTACAGGTTTAGGGTCTATGGGGTGTAGGGTTATAGGGTTTTGGGGGAGATTTGGTTTCGGGGTCTAGGGCCTCGGGGGTGTATCTGTGATTGGGTGGCTCTCTGGGGTTGATCTGAAGAATGTGGGAGTTGGCCCCCCAACTGTATAGAACCCAAACCCGTCGAACCTTACTTTGCATTCGGGCCACCCAAACCTAACCGCCAAGTCCTAAGCCCAGGTTAGCCAGCCTTTGCGCCCAACAGACAAAGCTCTCCGCACTGGGCTTCAGTGATACTTCCAAGGGTTACACACTGTGCTTCTCCTCTCGAAGTCTTTTCCTGGAATAGGGCTACGCTTTACACACCCCAATTTTCTACAACATTGTGAACAGGGGCAGCCCTAGCTGAAATGCGTTGGAGTGCCTGCACCTGTTTGAGGCCGCCGGACGCCTCAGCCACTGCCCCCAGCAATGCTTCGCAGGTTCCGACCAAGCACCCTCCCGAGCAAAACTGGGGTTTAGGGCTTGAGGTTTAGCGTTTAAGAGTTTAGGATACCTTACTAAAGCCCCTTAACTTTGCGTCCCAAAGTGCCTCTGAGCACAATTTGAGGCCTAGTTTAAGGTGCATCACGGTGCATGGCTTTGGGCCAAAGGGTGTTTGGGTTCAGATGGTTCAGTTCAGGGATGAGGGTTTAGGCATTGAGTTGGGGATTCTGGGGTTAGCTGCTCAAAACCAGCATCGGCCCCATGATGTCGGTGGCTGGGAGCCAAGGTTTGGGGTTCTAAGTTTTCGTTTGTTTTTGGAGGTTTTGCGCGGCTGTTTCAGGACCAGCGCATAGAGGGGGTGCCACTGGTGTGTCGGCTCAGGTCTCTGCCCTGCGAGTCTCCTTTGCGGACGGGGCCTGAGAGTGCCGTCGTGTGCGGTGTCTTGTAGAAACTTAGACGAAGCAAAACAAGTTTTTACGTCGAACATCCCCAACTGCGAGCTCACTCTGGGTTGGGCGCTCCAGGGACTCTCTAAAAATACTCTGGGTTTGGTCTGAGAAATTCTGGGGTTGGGCACTTATATTCTCGAGTTCGGCACTCCGGGGACTTTCTGAGATTCTGGGCCTTCGAGGGGTCTAACAACCGCACAACGAGGGTGGGGAATAAGATGATCGAGAACTGACGTAGGAGCCGAGGGTGGTCGCGACTATGCGACGAGGGTTGCTTGACTGTAGCACCCCTCTCTTTCTCACCGTCAACACTTAATCGACAAGCTTTCACCGGAAGGCCCGAAGCACCATCACAAGTCTCGTTCATGGTGCACGCACATCAGAAGTAGGTGCTGGCTGGGGCGCAGGAGTCTTGCTGCAGCTGGCGCGCAGGCACTACAGTTCTTTCTCCGGGCGGAGGTGCGATAGAGCACTTCCTGGGGTTCTGTATCAAATGCTGCAAGGGTTGTACAAGGCCTGTGAGGTTGCAGCCGGCATGGCAGGTTTATGGTCAGAGCTAGGGGTTTAGTTTGCGGCCAAAGGCTGTTGTGCAAGCAGCGTGTAAGATTCAGGATTTCAGAAGCTGGTGTGTCCTCTCGGGCCATGTAGTCCCCAAACCCGGAAGAAGCCTAGAATCTACCGGCTGCAGATACATAAATTCAGCGGCAGGGTGCTCAAATCGAGCTGTTGGAAACTTGGAAACGAGAAGGTGCTGCCACAGCCGCTCTGGGCGCGATGGGTGCTGAGTCTGCTGAGTAGCACACCAAGGCTGTGGCCCAGGCGGGGAGGCCACAACAGGATCTACTTTCGTGTAGCCCAAAGTGCAGTGCAAGGTCGGGAGTTCGAGGTCAGGCTCATAACAGCTTCTTTCTTCAAGCAGACAAATCTCTGGACCACACCCTGTCGCTGGCGCGCTCAGTCTCGCCAGGGCTTCCTCGACAAGAAAGGGCAGGCTGCGGCCGGGCGTGCAGTAGCAAGCGCGAGCTGAGATTTCAGAGTCGCCATGCAAAGCACCTGCTCTGTGAAGTCGGAATATGGTCAAGCAGTGCCTAAGTTAACCGAGTGCTGCCCTAAAATGACTGGAAGATGGACAAAGGTAGCGGGCTGGACCCTTTGCCGGCTTTGCAGGGTTTAAGGTGGCCTGTTTAAGGTCTTCTTATGTGTCAGGAGTCCCTTTGGAGGTACGGCAGGCTGCAGCCGAAGCCTTGGGCAAGCTGAGTGAGGCAAGTAGGCTTCGACGTATCGCCCAACCCCAAAACCGGCCGGACCCTCCACGCTACACCTTCAACCCTAGATCCCTAAAACCTAAACCCTAAAGCAGACAGTGTCCCTTACGTGAATCTCTTGCGAATTTCCTACATTGTACATACTGCAGCCCTAAACCCACACACACCCTATAGATCGGCATCTCTAGAGCAAATTTCCGTTTGCCTTTTCCTCGTGCCGCGTTGGCCAACTGGCAGCAGGGCCTGGGCAGCGAGACTATAAAATGAATGGGCTCACATTTGGCGTGTTCCGTGGTATCAAGTTTAAGGGCAGAGTGTGGTTCAGGGCTTCATCACCCTGCTGTCTCCTTCCCCTCTCCCTCCCCCTCTCCCTCTTATTTTCTCGCCTCGCCCTCTTTTCCAAATTGTTTCGCGCTCTCGCTCTCTCTCTCTCTCTCTCTCTCTCTCTCTCTCTCTCTCTCTCTCTCTCTCTCTCGCTATTTATCTCCTTCTCCTCCCTCCCCCGCTCCGTCCCTTCCTCCCTGTCTCCCTCGCTCTCGCTCTCTCTCTCTCTCTCTCTCTCTCTCTCTCTCTCTCTCTCTCTGTGTCTCTCTCTCTCTCTCTCCCTCCCTCTCCCTCTCTCCCGGCACAAGGTATCCGTTCGACAACCTGCATCCGCATTCACACTTAGCCCAAACATCTGAGGAGTTTGACCTGCATTCCTGCCGAGCACAATCTTGTGCTCAACAGTCGTGACCAGATACCGCCAAACTTGATGGCTACACTCACTGTGCGTGGATCTGTTTGTTACCAGCAAAGATCGTCCCAAGAACTCCACAGTTGCAACATCTGGTCGTGCACCCTGTGATGCCCATAGCAGGCGTCGACATTCATGACAATGCCTATCAGCAAACTCTGGCTCCATTCCTTGAAGGAGAGCCTAGTACTATAGGAAGGCGGTGCCTTGCCAAGTTGCCGGCCCCATGAGCGGGTGCACAAAAGCCATGGACCCCGACATCATCCTCAATGCCCTGACTAGCATCGATGCAGCGCGGCTGGATTAGGAGCTACAGGGAGCTACCGTGAGGGAGCTCAGCCTTGACAGCGTGGAGCATCGTTTTTGCTTTGTGCCGAGGTCAGCATTCTGGCCACAGTTCTGGCGCGGCTCCTGCAAAGTAAGCCAGAGCTTGCCCCAGGACTGGTCAATGTAGCTGGGCAAAGTTCAGGCTGTGTGAGTGTGGAAGTCGGGTCTTCCGGGTCAACCAGGTGTTGCCGGTTTGTTCTGCATGCTCGGGTATTCCGATATTGAGTCTATTGATATTGCGAAGGCAATTGAGAAGCCCTCCCCTCGGGGAGGTTTGACGGAGACAAGATGGCACATGGAAGGGGCGGAAACTGGCTCACAGTAGAGAGTGTGATGCGAACTCATGACTGGCCTCAATGCGCTTGGCCCAGTCTGAGCTGCAAGTGACGAATGTGGCGAAGCTGAGGTTTGCGTTCCGGACTTGGCCTTTGCCCCCAGCAAAGCGCTGACACAAAAGCGCTGCATCGGCACCATCGGGAATCTGAACCCAGCCCGGGCCTCAGCCGGCTCGCTCGGAGAAGGCCCCAAGTTGTTACTGCTATTTTGTGGCATTCTAGTGGTTCTAGTCGCCTTCTCCTTGTGTCTTTGGAGAGAAGCTTGATGAGCTTATGCCATTGCATGCCAAAAATGCTCTCATGAACAGACTCCATAGTTGTTTATCCCCAAGCTTTCACGGAACTGTGTAGTGACCGGCACCTCTTTGCAAGACTGGACAGTGCCCCGGTGCACTGGTCCCTGAGCTTTGTGACAAAGTCGGCTGGAAGAATGCGCTCGTTATGGTCTTAGCGCTTCGGTGCCTGAATCTCCATGCTCCGAGGCGATGGGTATGGGCTGCATCAACTGCCCTGAGCTGACCGCGGCACCTCGACCTCTCACAACCTACGCCCTGATGTCTCGGCGGCTAGAAGGGTTTCAGGGTGCACCTTGAACAGGCCTCTTGGGACGCCAGCCACCCTTTCAACCCGACGCAGATTCGCTGCACAAAGGAATCCATTACTTGAAGGAGAGACGGAGGGACGGAGAGACGGAGAGACGGAGAGACGGAGAGACGGAGAGCAAGGGCCACGGAAACAAAGGATCCGCAAGCACCGATAGATGGCAGTGTAGGAGTGTAGGAAGTACTTTTGCCACCTTCATGGGCCAAAGGTCTTCGGCTGCGACGTGATGGTGAAATCTCTTCAGCTGGGCAACTTCGTTGAAGGTCCGGCCCCAAGTTTGTTGGATGTGTTGAGTGCGCAGGGTTTTAATTCCGGGGTTTAGGTGCATTTGAGGCAGCCATCACAAGTTCCCTGTAGCCATCTGCCGACGTCACAAGGCGTGTGCACCTGCAGCTTGGTGCTTTATCTTTATGATTTTGACTCTATGATAGTTTCTGGCTGAGGACAAGAGGTCAACTTCGCTGTGACTTTGAACGAAGAGAACAAGCCTCAGGCTTTTGACCTGGCAGACAACAAGACCGTGTTGAATGGCGTCCCACCGCTGGGTTGCGGAATGGGCTGTGGAGGAATGCCTTTGATGGGAGAAATGCACTGTGGTGGGATGGGCTGTGGGATGGATGGCTGCGGCTGTGGTGGCTGCAGCACGACGCCGCCTCAGGTGCTAATGCAGTCTACACTACACTGTAGTCTAGTCTCTCACGATTTTTCAAGTTGGGTGAGGGAAGCCCTCAACTAAAACACCATCAAGCCCTTAAACCCCCAGACGCACACTCTTACAACCCTTTAAGCCCTAGACGCCTCACAGGCATTAACCCTACAACCATCTTCCGGACTCATCAGCCCTGTGCAGATCGCTGCTCCTCTGCAAGACCAGTCGGGTCCTGCCGCCCCTTCCAGATCTCTACGCCGCGGCACGGCCTGTGTTTGGAGTTTTTAGGGTGTAGCGTGCAGGGTTTCGGGAGATTTGGTTTCGGGGTCCAGGGCCTTGGGGATCGGGCCCTTGGGGTCTATCCGTGACTGGGATGGTTTTCTGGGATTGATCTGGAGAGTTTTTGGATGCTGGGCAACCCTAAACCGCCTAAACCCCTAAGCCCGCAATTGCCAGGAGCTGGGAGGATTTCTAGATCTGTGCTATGGTCGCTTCAGTTCCGAATGAGTTTGCTGGAAGGGTTTTGGGTTCAGGGTTATTGGTCGTAGGATTCAGGGTTATAGGGCTGAGGTGAGGTATTGTGGCAGCATGAAGCAACAAGTCGAACGACCGCTGCCCGTTTTCACGTTCCTGGAGGTGTGAGGAAGGGGAATGGGGAGGGTTCCAAGCCTGAACCCTAGAACCCCTCGAATCCTAGGGGGTGATCTCCGTTCTGCTCCTGTTCATGTTCGCGCCGTGGGACGAGGCAAGCCGGAACGTCAAGGTGGAGATGAGGCCGGGAGTTCAGCGTGACGGGTAAAGGGCTTCCATGGCCTCAGGGTTTTGGGCGTTTAGGGTTCCCACGAAATTCTCCTAAGCCCAAAACCCTAAATCCAAAACACCCCGCCCCCCCCTCCCACCGCCACTTTTCAAGTCCGAAGTGCCATGATCTCATATCCCAGTGTCTCTAGTCTTTTGCAGTCGGTCATACGCTTTGGAGGCTCCGCCAAAGGATGCGGAGGAGCAAGAAGAAGTCCGGGCCCCAAAATAGAAGCTCGCAGTGACTGGCCTCCACCTTTTGGAGCTTGGGGTGACGGGTGGGTTCAGGGGTTCAGGTCCAAAGTTTCAAGTCCGAAGTCCTAAGCCCTTAGCTGCAGATCCTTGGGGCGGAGCCTGAGCTTCAGGGGGGTGCCGCTTGGGAGTCTTGCGTTCGGATTTAGGGCTTGGGCGTGTTTAGGGGTTTAGGGTTCAGAGTTTGGGGTGCATGGGTTCATGTTAATCAATAGAAGTTAGGTGCTCACTTGTTATACATGCTGAAGTTACAGAAGAATTCACGCCTCTGCCTTGCTCACATGTGCAGAAAGGTGCAATGAATCTTGGCTGCTATCCTTGAACCACTACACCCTTACACCCTTCCTGAATGTTCATGAGCAGTTGGCAGTCGAGGTAAAATACGCAAGGAAATCTATACCGTAAACCTGATTCAGGTGATCACAATCGTAGTTGCATTTCTGCCTGCCCATGCCGTTTCATAGTGGCGATGCTCAGGGGAAAGCTCATTTGCCGGGACCTCTTGCCTACTTTTCACCATGTCGAGAACCCGATCCTAGGCTGAAGGATGTGAACTTGGGTTTAAGTGTCCAAGAATCAAGGTAGAGGGTTAGGGTTGTTGTGTTTACAGCTTAAGCGGGGTTTGGGGTTTTGAAGGAAGGGGGTCCTCGGGTGCGGGTTGGCATTGCCACAGACTTCTGAGAAGGATCTTGTTCCCTTTGTTTTGTTGTTTTTTGGCGACCACACAAATTATGAAGTGGTCCGAGGTTTCAACTGGTCACCTCAGCCCTGAGCGCGCACCTCCTCTCATCGGGTATTTCCCAAAATAGGGGTATACGCTTGTCATAGGAGCCTCCTCCCAAAATGGATACCCGAAACCCTAAACCCCAATTTTTGGAACCCTCCCCCCCAAATACAGCTTGGGCAATACTGAATCTCACCTAGAACCCTAAAACCGCACCCCGAAAACACCGCAAAGCATCCACCGAATCTGAACCCCCCGGGCCCCTCGATGTTCCACTTCCTGAACCCTGAAACCCTCAACCCTTACCTGCTCCTTAATACACAAAAACACCATCAAGCTCGTAATCCCTCCGACACAAACCCTGAAGCCCTTAAAACCCTTTAAGCCCTAGATGCCTCAAAGGCCTTAACCCTGATCAGCCCCGCGCAGATCGCCGTTCCTGTACAAGAACAGCTGGGCCGGATTGGCTCTGCCGCTTCCAGGTCTCTACACAGCGGCACGGCCTGTGCTTAGGGACTTAGGGTCTACAGAGGCGTAGGGTGTGACCAGGGGTTGTAGGGTCCCGAAGCTTACTTTGTCTCAGGGCCACCCAAGCCCTAAACTTTCAGGAGTTGGGGGGATTTCTGAGTTCTGTGCTATGGCTATTGCTGAGGTCCTGCAGCAATCGCAAGCAAGCTTCAGCTCCAAATAGAATTTGGTGAAAGGGCTTTGGATTCAGGGTTATTGGTTGTAGGATGTATCAGCCTGAACCCTATAAACCCTGGCAATCTCTGTTTTGATCCTGTTGATGTACACGCTGTGGGACAAGGCAAGCTACTAGAAGTGCCACGTCAAGGTGGAGATGAGGCCGGGAATTCAGCGTGACGGGTGAAGGGCTTCATGGCTTCAGGGTTTGGGGGTTTAGGGTTGACAGCTTGAGGGTTGCCACGAAAGTATCTCTTATGATGCACAGGCTGTCTATGTGGTATATAGGCTCACATAGAACATGATAGCACACAGCAGCAAGGCCAAAGCCCACGATGCCGGGCCAATGCACGAGTCGAAAGCTCTCGATGCTCTGGCCTCAAGTGAGGGGTGGGGGAGGTTATACCACCATGTAGCAGCTGTGGTGCTTGAGTGGAAGGCGCCTGCAAACTCTCGCTTCACTAGTTCCATCCACAACAAAAAGGATGACAAGGTAGCTCGTGGATCGGCCGCAGGCCCATGCACTAATGGAGAACATCATGCAGACGATGCCTTCCTTGAAGTGCAAAACACAAGCAGATCACCCCCCCCCCCCCCCAGCACTTCCGAGCTGTGGCGAGAGCCGCACTCTTTCGGCTTCAAACCCGAGTCGTTGCAACATGCCTGCGCGATCATTGAAACCTGCCCTGAGGCCGGACCGTTTGTCCTGGCAGACTAGGAGCCGTGGTTTGGCAGGGTTTATTTGTGTGCGTGCCCAGACGAAGTGGCAACTGACATAGGTTTGGAGGGTCCGAGACCTCACAGCAAGTTGATCGTAGCGCAAAGTTAGGTTCGAACTTGATATTCCACTGGTTTCTACCCCAACACGTTTGTTGCCTTTGGACGCTTTTGTAGGCCACGAGGTTTTGAGGTTGGCGTGGTATGTCCCAAGAGCAGCTATGTAAACAGTATATTGCTTGCAATGCCCCAAGCCGGGTGCACCCTACATCCGCATGCGCTCCCGGCAAAAACACACCTCAAAGATAGAAAACTGCATGGCAGTGATCCAAAAGAAGCGATGCCACCACTTCTTGTCCTTTTTGTTTGCGAGCAAAACATTCGCCCAACAGCTTTTTGCTCTGTAAGCCCAATTGGAGATCCAAGCCCCCCACTCTTGAATGTCCCTGCAGCTGCTAAACTCCACCAAGAACTTAACGGGCCGACATCGCAGGCTTGAAGCCCTTAGGGGCCATACTAAAACTGAGACTCCCCGACACCCGAAGTCTTTTAAAACACACTGCAGGAGGGCCCGCTGTCGTCCGTGGCTCATGGGGCACAGCTTGGAGTCCCCTCACGGGTGATCTTGGCTGCTGCACGGGACCGGGGGGTCGGGGAAGCAGGCGTTGGGGTTGGAGGTGTTCTTTTGGCGAGGGGTTCGCGCACGCACATGTTCAGCACCCCTCCAAATGCACACGCCTGTGGCTTGTCTGGGCACTTGCAGGCTGGCTTTGGGCTTGAGACTTCTTGCGGCTCTCCTTCGCAGTTGCTCAGCAGTCTCGGTCTTCACTCCCCGTTGCACCCAGCGTTTGTTTGCAGAGTTTCCTGCATGAGGGGTCACCTCTAATCGCCTCCCTCCAGGTCAGGTATTGCTACCTCCAGAGATGGCTGGCAACTACAGTAATGGCATGTTGGGTTCAAAGCGCGCGTCTGTAGGACATCGGAAATCGCATACCAGAAGTCGTAGCGCCACAAGAAAATGGACGTGGCAATGCGCGTCGTATGGAACATGCATACGAAGGAAGCACAGCTGCGTGATGGACGAAATTCAGCGAGCGTCGGGCACCACTTCCGAAGCAGACGAAACAAACGGACGAACGTTCGACCCACCGCCGATCGGGACACACAGCTCTAAACAAACAGTGAAACAGAACGTCGGCAGTACCGTTCATGGTTTTCTCGTTTTAAAGCAATGTGCGCAGCTCAGACCTACACCTAGACTTAGGAAATTGACAATTCTTTTGCCGGTTGACCTGGTTTGGATCCATTTTCCTTGTTGGGCGTGCTGTCGGCTTTGCACAGTTGGCTTGCCAATGCTCTCCAAAGTCCGACCAATTGGGTCTCAAAACCTATGCTTCATCGTGCTTTCCCAAAAGGAACTGCACTTCATGCAGCCAGTTCAAGTGTTGTTCAAGCTGTAGGACGCGTGGCGATTGCGATGTGGCGCACCAATTCATGCATGCAATTGGATACAAGAACGCGCTGCGACAATCTCGCATGCACGCGGGCGTATCTTCTCTTCCAAGCGGCAGGCTATCTCCAGGCTCGGGCCCGTTGCTACACGCAAGTAACCATGCGCCCCTGGTTGTGTGCATATTCATAGCATACAGCAGTTATGAAAAGGTAAGTTGGCTGAACATGTGCGCGAGTGAACCCTGGGGTGTCAGCGGCAGATTTTCGGATTTTGTTGCTTGGGTTGCTTACGTCTTCGGAGCATGGTTGTCGCTTAGGGCGAGCGAGATCATGCGCTTCAGGCTCGGTCAGGGTGGCGAAGCCTAGTTAGCACCCGCTTCAAAAGAGTTGAGCACTCACAAATGATCCCAAATCCAAAGCCTCAGCACCAGCGCTTCCCACTCCCAATCCTATATACCTTGGTCGCAGCTCACTGAGGCGCCGAAGCATGCGAGTTCAATCTGCGGCGCGGAAGCTTCAGCCATGCTCCGGGCGTGTAGGTACTGTTTCACCGAATTTTGTTACTGTGATGCATGGACAAGAGTGCTCTCTTTCACTTTCCGCAAGTCATGGGTTATAAGTGTCGGCGTTTTGTGCAGACTTCTGATCATATCTTCTGATGATCAGCAGCAGATGGTTCTGCTGGATGCGTGAGGCTGTTGGCCGTACTATTCAGCATTCGTACGTATAGCACATATCAACTATCTGCGCCGCAGGGACGCGCCGTGCTGGCAGTAGGCAGGCCCCCTGAAACCCCTCAACCCCAATCCCGAAGCCCCTGCAAAACCAGAAGCCCTTGAGACCTGCAGCCAAACAAAAGCACTGTGGTCGAGGGATCACAAAGCAAAACCACAGTCACTCACCATATTTGCAGCCCCAGGCACTCTAAAAGCCAAAGCCCACTCAGCCCTTAAACAACTTCATGTGCGATGGCGAGCTGATGGCCAGCAGCAGCACGATTGCAAATGTGCTTGCCAGCATGGAACAAGCTGAACAAGCCGACCTGGGTAGACAGAGGAACAGCATACACAGGATCTGATGGCAGCAAGGAGAGGTCCTAAAGAAGCCTTCGTGCATGGTGTATCACAGTCTCACAAAAAAAGTCTGTTGAAGAAGCATGGGACTCCCAGAGAGCATTCCGGCAAAGTCTTAGGGACCTTGAGCCTACCGTTAGCTGCGCTCCGGCTTTCGGAGCCGGCGGAGCGGAGGAGGATGCGAATGCGGATGTTCGGGCCTTGGGGGAGGAGATTGCCCTGCACGGAGAAACCCTAAACCCTCAACCTTAAACCCTAGAGGTTTCTCCGGGATCTAGTTGAGGTTTTGGGGCCAGGGCCGGTTTGGCCCGGTTTTGGGGGGGGTTTGGGGGTTTAGGGCACACTGCAAAGTTCGAGGGAGGTCTGAAGTGCAGGAAGATGCAGGAAATTTGCCCTCGATGTTAGGTTTCTGCGCAGCCCCCATTGCAATAGGTGTAGTTCATGCAGTACTCGTCTTTCATACCAGAATGGTGGAGGACGAGCAATCCTGTGCAGACCCTTGAGGCCCGGTGACGGGTGCTAAGAAAGTCAAGTGCAGGCGACCGGAAAGGCGAAGGCGAAGCGTGGCTGGGTATTGCCAAGATCCACATGGGCAAAGGTGGGGGCCGCATCTTGTGCGCGTTTTTGTGTAGAGCCCTTGTTGTGAGATCTGCAGTGGCCTCAGAGAACTTGCCAACCCAAGTGTCGGCAGCGTGACTGAGCCCCTAGAAGCCCCTGAAGCCCGAAAACCCCAAACCCGACAACAATAACAATAGCAATAGCAACAGCAAAAGCAACAACAGCAGCAACAGCAGTAGACATCATAAGAAGGCGATGTCCAGCAGGCCCAGCGTGCCGCCGAGGAGGGTGCCCTGGGGCTTGACGTCGCTGCGGGTTCAGGGCTTTCGGGTTTTTTGGAAGAGTCTTGGACTAGATCTGGAGGCAAAGCACGCATTCGTGTGCAACATTCTCCACGACATGCTGGCTGTTCTAGACCCCCACGTGATGCGGCTTTGCTGCGGATCTCCAGGCCTTACAATGCAGGAAGCTCGGAGACAAGCGAAGCCGGGCCGAGGCAGGGTTGCCCAGCTGTGTGCGCCCAGCTCCAGGCGTAGGGCTCGATCGCGGGTTTGAGAGCGTTTGAGCCGTGACTGCACAGGTATGTCGAAGCTGGCATGCCCACTGATTTTGTGCAGGTTGTGCGCACTAGGTGCAGCTCCGTTTGAGGCAGCGCAGCTCGTCTCTGACGTGCACTTCGCGCTTGCATCCGTAGGTCAGGGCAAGACGCAGGACCTGTACGTCGCATGTATTCTCGGAGAGAGTCCAACTGCTCGTTTGCGCTCCACGATTTGGAGATCCGAAGGCTGCTTTACCTGGGTCCCAACTCCAGTGAGCTACGATCCAAGCATCTGCCTTTTGTATGTTGGTGTCCTCGGCTCCATGGGACAGGAGGCCCTCCGGGCGGCTCAAGAGGCAGTCCAGCTCTACCAGGAACCATGCAAGAGCGGGCCGGATCTTGTTAGGGTCGAGAGATGGGGTGTGGACACGGGTTTAAGCGAGATATTTGGCAGGTCATGAGCGTTGCCATGTGTACACCATCTGCCAGTCTGCCAGTGTTGCTGGAACAGGAGCTCGGTGGAATGATTCAGACAGCCGAGCCATCAGTCTGCACGTCCTGGCAAATGCAAACCTCATGACCAAGAACTTCGACGACGCCCTGAAGACGGCGCAGGCCAGAATGACGAGGGTGTGTAGCGTGTGTCGGTGCGACGTGTGTCGTGACATCATGACATCATGTTGCATCCTGCAGCAAAACATCCCACATGGTGAAGCTGCAAGCTAGGTGATCAAGTGGCTTGGGTCCTGCGTGCTGCGATTGCTGCCAGCCAGGATTCCGAGACAGCCTTCAGAGCCCTTCGAGACACTGCCGCCGAGGCCAGGGACAAATGTGCTGCTCTTAAGCATACTCGCGTGCCACCCTCGGTGCAAAGCAGTGGGAGTGCTGGCTTAAGCTGGGTTCACGCTTGGTGATGCTTGGTGTTGTGCAGGCTGCATCCATGATGCTCCAGTCCGGCGCGCACCTGGGCCGCCAAGACTTCGAGGAGGCGCTGTGCCGAGGCAGGGTCTGCTTCTCAAGGTGGTCCATGATTTTGATTTGCAGAGACCCCTCGCAACCCACAAACCATCACAAAGCTGGGAAGTTTTCTGCAGGAGTCCAGAGATCTGCTCACGGCCGGTGA